GATAAGACCACCAAAGATGCATTGGTTGGGGTTGCTAAGTTGCCACTCTCAAACATTTTAAAATCAGAAAAGGCAAGGATTGTTGTAAGTATACATCCTCTGCCAATTAAAATATGAATGATTAAAATACTCTATGTACAAAACACAAATCAACAATTTATTTTTTTCCATAGAACTCATCTTCTGGGGCTGATGTTTGGAGGCAGATTTCAAGTTCAAAGCAAAATGTTGTGTCAACCAATCAACAACCGAGGAAAGTTGCTGAGCTCTATGTTGTGTTAGGATTAGAAGATTATGGTCCAATTGAAACTCAACAGATCTTCATGCCAATAACTAAGTCAAAGGTTAGTATTATGAATCCTTAATAGTTGTGTCAAATCAAAAGTTGAAATTACAACATAGGAACAGCACTTTAATGATATATTTATTCTACAACCTTTCAACAATACCCCTGATGTCTAATCAAATAATTATCACCTTACCTCAATACTTCACAAGCTGTACCAAGATGGTTCACTGACATTTGCAGAATTTGCTGTGTAACCACTTTTTTTATTCTTTACAACACATTGGTAGCCAAAGCTGAATTGCAGCATTGTATAACAAGCATTCTTATCAACATTAAAATATACAGTACTATGCAATTTAAAGTAATGTACAAAAAATAAGACCATTATTATATCTACAAACATTATTAGAAAAATTACAATTAATATCACTATTATTACTAAAATTACCATTGGAACTGTATCAGGAAAAGCGTAATTTTGCAAACAGATTAATTAAACAAAAAATAACAGACAAGAGTTAGCAAATAAAAGAGGATCTTCATGTAGGGATTTTGGAAAATTCAGAGTCTCAGATGATAAAAATAAAAATTCTCTTGACTGCATAAAAGTACCCCAATCAGGTGAAATAATTTCAGATAAAGAAAACATTTTAATTACAATGAAAAGCTATTGGAAGATTCTTGGGAATATTAATGATAATATTGTAGAACACAGGCCTCGAAATTTACCTCGGCCATTGCCGACGGTGCCCTCCCAGTTGGCCTTGGTGCCCCTGAAAATGAAGCACGACGACGACCACTACTTGCCTGCCCTTTTGAAGCCTTGGCCTCGGTGCCCTCACAATGCTTAATATAGATCGTTTGACACGTAAAATAAATCTAAGAACGTTTAAATCTTAAAAGAAAACACAAAAGCCAAAAACGTAGGTCGCCTAAGCTAGCCTAGGCCAGACTGCAGTGACAGAACAGAACATGAGAGAATTTCCATGTGTGTTGTTTTTGCGGTTACCGTTGTGTGCGCATGCGTCTTACTCTAACGGTTATTGCAAAACATGGGCTCATTCGACTGGTTCATTTCATTGGAACGAATTTTCGTTGAGTATTATTTTCATTCGACTGGTTCGTTAAATCATGGAGGTATACCTATACCTCCATGGTTAAATGGACTTCGCTGACAACGAAAATTAACGTACACCAGAGTGCGGTAATCAGCGTTAAGTTATCCACGTGAGCCGATTGGTGATTTTTTATTAACATTTGCATTAATATAACATAGATTAAATTTCATAAAATAAACATTACAGTATTTACCCACATGGAGTCAAAAAATTATTGTAGGCAAACAGGACATTAATTTCCATTCTATCTTAGAATTTACAGTACTTCTAAAATCAATCGAAAGCTTTTTCCTTTACTCCTCTTTTTGAATTTCACTTTTATGCAAGTTGTATTGCGACTATACTATAGTGGAAATATTACCGTCTAACTTACGATCAAACAGGACTAAGGAGATATGAAGCACGAACAACATTATTGAGAATTTTCATTTCACAAACATAAAAGGTGATTTACTCAATTTATCAATATCATGGCAGGGGCAAATCCAGAAATTTTCTGATGGGGGTGGGGGAAATTGGTTAAACACACCCCCCTCAGCCCCACCATGGCTGGGGCTGAGGTGAGCAGATTTTAAGAATATGCCTCTCTAAATGCTCAGTAATGGCAATTTCTGGTGAAATAAATGGTATGATATATGATATCTGAACTTATTAAATTTATATGCTGAATTTGGTGTAGCCTATGTACGTTTCATGTTCATCAGTGAGCGTGAATAAACATTCATCGACGTACAATACAGCTGTATACCTCCGTTGTAAGGCAAAGGCCACGATGACTACTACAACAGTTTGATTTTAATATATATAACTAACATTAAAAAAGACGGTGATTGACTTACTTGCAATTAGAGTAGTTCTTATCTGTTTTTTTGCTAGCTTTTGTGAATGTAAGAGACTGCTTTATTTCAGGAGATGCCTTGACATTGCAACAAAGAGAGAGTACTAAAAAGAATCCACCTCATGGTTTCATGTTGAATTTTCTTTGTTGATGCCATTTAGAATGAGTCTGACAGTACTTCAAGTATACTGCCTCATCAGCCCCCTCCTCCTCATCAGCCCCCTCCTCCTCAAGATCGCCCTCCTGAGCAACCTGATCATAAGGAGACTCAAGAATACAAGGCTGCAATTGAACTTGAAATCTGGAAAGAACAACAAGCTGGAGCTTTTGAATATCAGGTGACAGTGATAGCAATTATTTATTTTTACTTTTACTGTGCTATGTATAGCAATATGAAACATCAAGTCAAAATTGCATTTTTTATTTATAACCATATATTTTGAAGATTGATGTCATGTATTTCCTACCAAAGTTATTTTCCTATCTCAAATTGTGCACTGATTTTTCTTTGCCTAGCCAACAGACGACATTTCAATTCATTTTTTGTATGACTAATGATGCCTACATTGCGATGCAATGGCATTTGTTTGTATGTAGAGCGCTTGGACTCAAACTGTGCAGTAGTTACTTATTAGACTTTGAATGCTATGTATTATCAGTTTATTCATGACTTTCATCATTGTACATTGTTCAAAGCTTAAGGAGAAGGAGCTGATGTACATGCAGACTCTAGCTGAAGAGTGGAAGAAACGTGACAAAGACAGAGAAATTATATTGAAAAAGAAGGTATGGTATCGACAACTTAGAACAATGCTGTGTAGAGATGATCCATTCACTTATGTGCTTCTAGCAAGGTTTACCCATTGTTTTTGTTCTGATTTTTTTTCCCACACTGGCACATCAGTCACTTTCTTTCCATGCTTGGATATTTTCCAAACTTTGTCCAAACATAGACCATTATACCAAAGATGTGCTGTGTAAAATGTAGTGACAATCTGGAGTAGGGTGTCGATGTGAGGACCAATTAAAGGGATTTAAAGGTAAACCCCACCCATTTCAGCTTCCCCACCCTTAAAAAACCAAAAAAAATAAAGAAAAAGAAAATCACACTTAAGTAGTTATAAATCACCTCAAATCACCTTATTCTGTGAGCTAGTTCCCCTTACCTAATCATCAAGCTACACCTTCGCACTTTCATGCTCCACTTTCATGCTCCCCATCAGCTCCACTCACCCCTTCCCTCATTTGACTCAGAGATACGCTACTAGTCAGTGACTGAGTGGGAGGGGGAGAAGACTGGGGAACATTAACCACCCTCCTCACCCCAGCCATAATACTCATCCCAAACACAAATTCAAAATGCTTATACATTTTCAGAATTCCCTCACCTAATCATTGAGCTTCACCTTCACGCTCCCCATCTGCTCCACTCACCCTCCCCCATTTTAAGACTCATAGCTGAGGGGAGGGGGAGAAGACTGGGGATCATTAACCACCCTCCTCCTCCTAGCCATAATACTCATCCTAAAGACAAATTGAAAATGTTTATACATTTTTAGAATTCAAAGATTTTAACATTTCATACTAGAGAAAAATTTCACCGCATGGAGGCTATGCTTTTACTGCGTAGCGTAAAAGGAGTAATTCTAGTTTCTTTTATCTTGATTCATAAGTAAACAGATTTTAGAACTATAGAGTAAAGGTATTTACTGGATGCATGGTCTGCAGTTACCAAGACTATGAATTCTAGTGTAAAGAAATGCATTCAATGCTAAAACAGCATTCGAGCAAGGTTGTCAAAGTAGATATACCTGTAGGACTGGTGGTAGGTAGGTACGTACTAGTAGTATAGTACTAATAATTCTTAAGTAGGCAGGTAGGCAGGCAGGCTAAGCTACGAAAGCCTAGGTAGCTCCCTCAACCAGGCAAAATCACTATTCGGTCGTCACACAAGGTTCCCTTCTACTTCTTTTTCTAGTCAATGTAGGCTAAGATCCCTAAGTATAGGGCCTAATTACAAAAATTAATTTAGGGTCCCAAAAACCAATTATTTTATTTGTAATAGTTAGGTCTGGCCTCTACTAGTTAACCACTACCTAGGTGTGTTACTGGGTATATCATCAAAGGTCACATCCACCAATAAACAATTCTCATCATCTGTACATTTCACTATACCACGTTATAAGAGAATCATTCATTCCCTTGTTATGCTTCCAGACTTTGGAATAATCTTCCAACTTACCTTCGGGATGTGTCAGGTCCTAATCTTTTTAAACGTGCACTTAAAACTATACTTGTTTCCTATTAAATACTGTCACTTCTGCTTTTTTCTTTTTGTGTTTAATTGTTAATCATAACAAGAGAATCAGTAGGTGTTTCATTCCCTTGTTATGCTTCCAGACTTTAGAATAATCTTCCAAAAAAAATGTCTCTCAATATGATAATTCTTCAACTTTGTTTTATTCATGGACCTATTAATTTATTTAGATTACATTTTTGGAATTTACAAAGAATAGGCCTAGGCAATTTGTATCGGTTTGAACACCAGCAAATTTTATTTTAAAATTGAAGTATGGTATAGGTTATAAGGAAAGATTTCATGTTTTTTATATTATTTATCGTCCATTTACAGATGAGCTAAATATTATTGCTGACGATTCACATTGCAACCTACCCTGTCAGCAAAACACAACTTTTCACCTTTGCTGACTCAAAGATACATAGGGCCTAAATGAGAGACTGGGTCTGGGTCTGCCCTAGAAAGGCTAGACTAGGCCTCTAGCTAGGCTAGAGAGAGGCCTGCTACTTCTAGGCATACTGTAGGTAGATAGACTTTCAAAACAAAAAGATAATCGAAACAAAAAAAAAGTATCATCCTCACTTTATCTTCTCAGAATCTAAAAAATAAAGAAATAAAATCCAAGTAATATGATTGATTGAATTTATTCAATGCTCAACATGCACGAACAGTATAAAATGAATTTGAGAAAAGGTAAAGTAAAAATTAATGAACATCAGGAATCCGACCATTTCCAATAAGGAACAAAATTGCACATTAAAAAATTACGTATACAATCATTAATATTTTAAATTTGAAAATTGACATAAAAATATGATTCACAAATAAAGTGGGCATCTGAAATACAGACATTGAATTGCACATAGGCCTTATTAAAATTTATTAAGAATAATAAAAAATGTACATAATTAAAGAAAATGTACACTATAACAAAAAATATCATTAGATGGATTCTTAATAATATTGTTTTAATATTGACTCTTCCAGGTGGAACAAAATAAATCGCCGGATTTCTTAATTTATACATTGGAACAGAAAGTTGAAAAATGAAATAAAAGTGCCATCATAAATGGAATTCATACATTTATAATCATTAAATGATAATTTTTGGAATATGACTAAATTTTCTAAAGTAAAACCTGCAAAATGTATTTTTAACACTTTCTAATCTAATGGATTATAAAAAAGAAATTGAGTTAAAAATAACAGAGCAAAACTTAAGGTTAGATCTTATTAATGCTTTATACAATAGAATAGAATCTGTCTAAAATCAACAATTCTTTCTTTTTCTTACTGTTTAAAATTAGGTGATATGTGATATTATAACATTTTACTATATCTATGCAACTTGCTTTGCATATTCTTAATAAATGCTTTGCACTTACAGATTTGTTTATAACTTCTACACAGATTGAAGATTTTGCGCAACTGGAGAACCAGTTGAAGTTAGCCTTGACTGACATACAGAAACGAGAACAGAAATTGGCAGCCAATGAATCAGAGGTTGCAAGGCTACGAAATGATCTACAGCGGGAACAACAACAAAAACTTGATGAGATGAAAGATGCATCTAAGCGAATGAAGGAAGATTGTCTCCGAGACAGATATATATATATATATAATTGCAGGCCTCAATTTTTTGAAAAATAAAAATTTTAATTCAACAACGATTTTGAGATAGATTTTTTCAAAACATGTGGCAATCAATAAATTGCAAATTGCAAATAATTGTAAGCTTTATAACTGGATGATTTTTAGCCTAAATACAACTAATAATTCAATGACATTGAGTCCAAACTTTCCTTTGGGTACAACATTGACAGTACAAATAATATCCCTAAAAAATTGTTTGCCTTCCACTGCTGCCCATACAAATAGAGGCAGCGGTTTTTTGTTTTTTTTATTTGGACATTTTAATTCTTTTAAAATCCAAATAAAATCTCCAAATAAATCAGAATCGGGAACTGTCGTTCTTTTTTGTATTTTTGTCTTTGGGTGTATTTTCAATAAGAATCAGCCAAATGTTCTCAATTTGTTGTGGTTTTTGTGTAGGCTTATATCTAAATACAGTAGAACCCTTCCTTTGGGACACCCCTATTAAGGGGACACTTCCGTAAAAGAGTGACATATATTTTAACATTACGGCTAACTCCTATTAAGGGGACACCCTAGTTAAGGGAATAGGGACACCTGACGAGTGTGCAAAATGGCCAAGTCAGTATACAATTTAACCCCTATTAAGGAACATTTTATTGTATCAATCAATCAATCAATCAAGTAATGTTTTATTTCACAGGTATTGTGAAAAAGGTACCCCACTGTAAGCAAGCTTTAATTGTGGGGTCCTGAACATACGAGTGTCTAAATAATACAACCAATTCAATAAGATAATCAATAATTTATTGATTCATCTACCTTGAGTAATATCATGGTATAAATTCAGTGATTGAAAGCGTTTAACCTGGTTGCACCTCGTTTAAATGCTTTAGAAAACATAAATTGCGTGTATATACTTTAATCACCTATTATTAATATTGTTTTCTTCATATCCACACCCTAATTTGGATTGTCACCAAACTTTGAACATTTCTTCATTGGACCATGACAAACTATTCAAAAAAGTTTCATTTAGATCTATTGGTAAGTTTTAAATATATTTAAGTCTAGGTCCTTACCACTTTAAATGACCATCAATTTCACACCCAAATCTGGATCGTCACAAAAATGTTTCCTTCTAACTTGGTTAACCTTTCCTGAAAGTTTCATTCAGTCGGATCAGTTGATCCCTCTTTGAAATATCTATTGTAGGGTGTTTCCCTTTAAGTTCCTTTAAGTGGTCCTCACATCTATACCCCACTCCCAATTGTCAGTAAAATGTAGGAGGCACATTCTTGATATATGGTCTATGTTTGTACAAATTTTGTAAAAGATCCAAGCATGGAAAGTGACCACAGGGCCGCGCAGAAAAACCCAGTGAAAACAGATAGGGAAAATGAAATGGAAGGGAAAAAAATCAGAACAACAGCAATAGCTTTTTCAGCTACTGCTGGGAAAAGCCAATAATACTTCTTGGATTAAACAACACAGATAAATAGTAGATTGTACTGCGATTTCTCAAATTCTCAATTAACTTTTTATTATTTTGTTAACTACAAGGTCAAAAGTTAGGCTTCTTGAAAATGAAAAGCAACAACTTGCTCATCAACTTGCTGAAGTTCATAGGCATCTTCACGACAAGCAGGTCGAATTAACAGAGTATAAAAGCCAAACGATTACCAAACCAGAAGTCAAGCTCCAGTCTGATATTAATTTACTTTCACTTGAAAAGGTAACATTGATGATTGTATGTATAATTATAGCACAGGAACTGTCTTTTATCCTTCCACACCTAGTGAAAAACCGGTAAATAGAAATATATGTATTTTGAATAATATGTGACCAAATTCATCTTTTCTGCGGAAGTATTAACATAGTTATGGGTTTTCCTGATTTTTGCAAAATTTTACCAAATCCGGCTTTTTATAAGTTAAATCAAATATAAATTTATGCATAACTTATTAGAATTTTTGAAAATGTTTTTGTTTTTTATTATTGTCAAGTGCCAAAAATTGTATTCACAACTGGCCCTGTTACCCCTTACCTGGATGGGCCCGCTGTGTAAGAAAAAAATTCCAAACATATGCAGGATACTTAAAAATTTTATGTCACATCAATGAGTGCAGAGAAACCCATAGCTCCCATTCTTGAAAGCCAGTAATAACAGCCAGGCTGTAAAAAAGCAGTTCATTAGAATTTTGTAGTAATAGTCTAGATCCATTATATGTTATCAACAATTTGTATAGAATTCTATTTATATATAGTTACATTGAAATATAATACAGTATGTAAGGTTAGTTCATCCAAGAAAAAGAATTGTAAAACACTACTTTTTTTCTATTTCATTGTTAATTTGGAATTTTTGTAACATTTTGTAAAGTGTTGAATTAGGAATGATCAGTGATGAGATCTTAAATTGGAAAACCAGCAGTGACTTCTTCAACGGTTCTCAAACAATGGAAGCAAAATACAGCATTCACTCGGTTTTTCACTAGGTGTGGAAGGATGTGATGCTCTACACAAAAAGTAAAGACAGTGATTAATCAAAATATACTTAGCTGTACGCACATTAATTAATTTGTGTACTGTATTATTCAATTTAGGTGGAGTTTGAGAGGAAATTGGAATCTGTGACAAAATCCAAAATACATTATAAGCAGCAATGGGGTCATGCATTAAAGGAGCTAGCCAGCTTGAAACAGAAGGAACAAATGGAGGCCAAAGCCAGGCTGAGGCGACAGCAGCAAGAGTTGGAGCACATGAGACTCAGGTACTTGGCATCTGAAGAAAAAGAAGTGGTGAAATCCGAGAGACAGCAGCTGGAAGAAATCAAAGAAGAACTTAGCAAGTAGGTGGCTAAATGTCGCTGATTATATTATGATAATTTTCGGTTTATTTCTCTTTAATTGAGACTTCATATAACTTGGGTTGATTCAAAACTATTTGTTGAGCAAAAAAAATATAACTAGACCTGTGCCAGGGATGTAGTTCATCTTATTAGTTAAATTACACATGTTAAATAATATACAGATGCGGATCCAAAAAAAAATTAGGTAGGTAGGAGCCATATGACTGTTTTACAGTATATGTGTGTGTTTACAAAAAATTAATCGTATTTTGCTAAATTTACACTTGCTGTACCCCTAAAGTTGTTTAATAGGGTTTTTGAGTCTTTTATAGGGTTTTTTTTTTTTTTAGTGCTCTTGGAGAGCATTTTTTAAGAAAAGATGATTATTTATCGAGGATTTGTTTTTAGTCTAGGCCCATCTAGCCCAATTTTATTGGTGTCTGACCAGTTGGTCGAAATCCAGTTTGCCGAAACCCGGTTTGCTGAGATTATAGCCACTTTGCCAAAAACTCAGTTTGCAGAATCTGGTTCATCGAAAACATGAAATCCCAGTTTGCTGAAATCTGGTTTGCCGAACCCAGTTTGCCAAGTTTTGTTGTCACTGTCATACGAAAGCGCAGCACACTACTATTTTGAACTGTTTGTAATAATGGCACTTGTGTAGGCAAAACCGAATGTAAACTCAGAATTAACACAACCACAAAAAATTAGTTAAAGACCATCAAAAGGGCTTCATTGTTGCTCACCACTTTAATTCACCAAGCCATCAGTTATTTAGGCTTTTTAATCTCAGGTATTAATTTCAAATCTACTAAGGCTAGAAGATGTGCTGAGATCCGTTGACTCCTCTGTCTTAAATCTAATGTTTAATGGTTTAACAGAGATTTAGTTTTTAAGATATATATATATATATATATATAAAGTTAAAACGGAGAGAAACAGTAGAGAAAATTCGATAAGAATGACAAAATAAACCAAGCATCCACTGGAAGAAATCCCAATATCTGCAGACGGATCCGTTTCGGCCTTACGGGCCTCATCAGTGCAGCTAGGATACAGACCCAAACAAAACGTTCGACGACCAGCTTAGGCAGAGTCCAGACTAGTCAAACGCCCACTAATGATTAGAGCCAAACCAAGGCAGATCCTTTTTATAATTAATTGTAATTTTACTGTCCATTAATTTAGCATGATCAGAGGTTTCATTTAAATATTTTAATAAGGCACTATGATGCAGTTTTTGACAAAACAATTGTCGGCCATTTTGGATTTGAATATTAAAACAAGGTCGAATCATCAATCCGACATCAAATATGGATTCCTTGGCATCAAAGACACTCAAGTTCATGCACTAAAGCAGCCATGCAGGGGCGGATTTAGGGGGGAGGCGGCCCAGCCCCGGCCCCCCTTTTGGAAGGTAAAAAAAAGGGAAAAAAAGGAAAAAAGAAAGAAAAAGAAAAAAAATGATAGCCCACAACGCCTCAAATGTTATTTTCGGGCGTCTAGAACACAAAAATTTCGCCCCCGGACCCCCTACGATATTGTTGTCTCGATCGGCCCAAATTTCGGCCCCCTTTTGGCCTCCCCTTTTGGACATCTCTGGATCCGCCCCTGCCATGTAGCCCAAAACACTGAAATAATAAATTTCAAAATGGCAAAAGGCGGCCATTTTGGATTTAGGGCTCTCACAGGTTATGCCCACACTTTCACGAGGGACATCCAAGCTATTTTTGTTATGATACCCTCGAGGAAGACAAATCCACTGAAAAACTAATTTAGCCTCTCCACGATCACGCAATTGCCAAAAATGACACAACTAAAAGGCGTTCTTGTGACACACAATTAGCTGTTACCATACAAGATTTTGCCAGCTGCTTAGATGCAAAATGACAGGCTGACATGATCCTGCTTGACCTATCCAAAGCATTTGATAGAGTTCCACATTTGAGGCTCCTGCGTAAATTGGAATTTTATGGCATTAACCCGAAGATCCGCAACTGGATTTCCAAGTTCCTGACCGACCACAACAAGTGTTACTCAACGGCACTTCATCTGCAAGCACACCCATCCAATGTGGTGTGTCACAAGGTAATTGTTATTGCACCTTTGCTTTTCCTTCTCTTTATCAATGACCTCCCAGGATACGTCTCTCAGCAGACAACTGTCAGGTTGTTCTCAAACTATTGCATTCTATATAGGAATATTAAGAAGGAAGAAGATGCTATTCATCTCCAAAATGATCTCGACATGCTCCTGAAGTGGGAGTCTGATTGGTTGATGAACTTTCATCCAAACAAATATGAAATCTGGGAGTGACAAACAAGAAAACCCCAATCATAAAACCTTACAATATTCATAGACACACTATTGAGGATGAGGAATCAGTAAAGCATCAATATACAGAAGAACATTGGGTGGAATAAGCTCATTAGTAACATCTAAAGCAAACCACACCGTGCCTTCTTACAACGCAATATCCACCAGTGCCCACAAAAAACGAAGGAGCGTCGTATCATGGAATACGCAAGTATCAGCTGAATAACATTAAGAAGCTAGAGATGGTACAACGGCATTATGCACAGTTCGTTATTGGGGACTATAAAAGGCAGAGTAAGAGCTATGATCAATAAATTGCAATGGGAACCTTTACAGGAGAGACGAGCCTTTGCCAAGGTTGAGATGATGTATCGCATTGTATAAAACCTTGTAGATATCCCACTTACCCTCCTAATTCCTGTTGGTCAGCAACTCAGAGGCCACACTCAGAAGTATGTCATCCTCTTCGCAAGGACATCTATGTACCAGCACTCCTCAAACCAAAGCTGCTGTCTCTTATACACATCTAGATGTGTATAAGAGACAGATATATATATATGCCGTGTAGGTTGAAAATAGATCATGAAGACAAAAGTGCTCGAAGCAGGAGCAGAGCAATATAAAATGAAAAACAAGATGACGCTTGGTTACCAATTCAACTTTTTATTGCACTACAGGCTGTTTCATGAGGTACTTCCTTAATCGTCAGGTGCTAGGCTCTGATTGAAGCGGAATAACAATAAATGCATCGTGGAACTGTTTATTGGTATACACTCATTAGTATTCATTGAGATAATTAGATGTCTTATTTAGTCTTAGGACCCGACTAAGATTTGTATGCGCTTAATTTCGGAGAGAATATCTCAACTGCTATAAACTAATATGAATCCTAGGAACAACATGGGATGTGTGCCAAAATCTCTATCCGGGACAAACAGCCCAGATATGACCACACCCATTTTTAAATGGCTACGCCCCCCTTTTCATTGAAAATGCTAATTTAAACAGTAGGCTACACATTATGAGCATATTGAAAACAAGGGTTTATCTTTCATGAAATAACACATGAGGTGATTAAATTTCAGAAATATCACCTTAATTTAAGTCCTATTCATATGGAAACTAGCTTAAATATGAAAAATAGGGCCTTCGCCTCCTTTTTTACTCGAAATGCTACTTTAAATAGTAGACTAGACAATCTGAACATAAGGGTTTTTGTTTTATAAATGAACACATATATGATGAGGGGATAACATTTCAGAAATCACATTGTAGTCACATGTCCTGTTCATATTAAATGCATACAAATCTCAGTCAGGTTCTCTACTAATTGTATCTAAGTTGTATTTGTGCGTTGGTATCGTAATAAAAAACACTAATCAATTCATTCCTACGGTAATGTGAGCTTAATTCAGGGTTACATATAATAAGAAACTCCAGCAAGCACAGATTACATCATTGACTGATATTTGAGTAGGGCTTGCATTTAGCTAATATTTTCCATTTAATTGCATATTTTATATTATCATCATTCCAAAAGTATTTTTTGTTAAGCGCCATGCTATTTCTGTACTTTTTGTAACAGAATGAGCTATTGTGTCCATTATATCTGTCCTGAAAAGTGTTTTCTGTCTAGTCAGTCTGACAAAAGTTTTTATATTGTTGTCATCATGATTTATAACTGTGGCCTGGTATAAGGCTCCTTTGGTCAGGCATTTATTAGATAGGCAGCACAGGTTGCGACAATTGCATTCTTTGACATTGTTGTCTGTGTGGGTCGTGTCATTATTGAGTATGGTTTTGGTGGGTGTGGATATTATTTGAACCAATATTTGGCATACAACTTGTAACTCATCTTGACAGTATTTCGTTTAGATATTTCCTTGGCACAAGTCCAAACAGGACTAGGGAGATAGGAAGCACACAAAACAGTTAGTATTTTTATTTCACAAACAAAAAAGTGATTTCCTTTATCATTATCATGGCGAGATCGCGTCAATGTAACATCAGAGTTCGTAAACTTGTGTATCACTTACTGTAAATATTAAGTTGAAATAGATAGACCTATCTGTGTCAAGGCTGTATAATTATTGTTTAATAACAGCTATACAAAATTCAATAGACCGAATTAGTCACCAAACCAAAGCTGTTTATGGGTATAACATCAAAACAAACCGCTAGGTGGCAGTTTTTTCACACATTAATAAGATGCACTCGAGTAAATTTCGACAGTCTTTAAACTCCTCAAACTTATTTATTTGTAAATTTTATCGTAAAATAACCTATTGAAAAGCCTTGCTAAAAATTTTTATTTAATTTAATGTCAGACTTTTGACCCATTAAATTTGAAATGGAGTAAAATAAACAGATTGAAAACTTGAACATGTTTGCATAGCTTCGTCGCGTGAACACATGGCAACAACATTTTTCTCACTCATTGGTCATTATAGTAATTTCTTTGGTCTAAAGAAATTACTGGTCAGTGTACCTTGTGCCAAAGTGGTGAAACCGAAGATATTCGTCATTTTTTATTTAACTGTAAATCATTTGATATAATCAGAGAGGCAGAATTAGCTATTTTAAAACAAGACCTTGAACTTTGCAATGAGACTACAACTTGGAATACTTTCTCAGAATCTGATATTGACGATAAAATTCATTTTGTTCTTGGGGGTGGAAAATAATCTC